ACCTTGACAAGCCTGCTGGCTTCGGCATAGTGTTGCAGTCTATCATGACGGACATTATTCTAGGTATATCAAAGGACGGGACCGTGATACCGCTATTCTGATTTTTTGAACTATCTGGGCAAAATCGATCGTCTCGCTGCTGTCAGCGACTGGTGAGAGGTAAGTCAAGCTGCTCCTTGACACGATTTTCTGCCTATATGGCTCGCCGGTTGCTGTTGTGGTGATTAAAGATCTGTGCATCACAGCAAATTTGGCAACCTTGTCCAAGGTACAAGGCACCAGATTAGCCACGTCAATCGCATACCACCCACACCTTGTTAAACGCGTGGTAGATATATCATTCATGCGGAGTGATTGTAAAGCTGGTACTAATTGATTCTGCGATGTAAGACGCAGTGCATATCACTATAGGCTTTATTAAAATTTATGAAAGGTTTATGTAAGCTGGTGGTGCATTTGACATGGTTTCAATCTAAGCGGGAAAGGGACTGACGCCAACTCGACTTGCTGGTATCAGTTAAGCTACACTTCTAAGCAAAATCAACTATTCCGTGTTACTTACATTGAGCGCATGGACGCTATGGCTGAGAGCCAGGGTCATAAGAAGTGACACGCCGATGTCAGAGGAAGACAAACCATGAACATATTGTGGGGTGAAATATTTTATGAATATAGTCAGCCTACCAACACATGCAGAGTCTGTGGTCGATTGCACAAAGTTGCAACTACGCTGTATTCCGCCATTCACTGTCGCAGCGGAAAAAATTGTGTCAACATCTTGATATTCCGACGAGATTACAAATAGGCCATGTCTCTTACATGTACTTACTACCATATCATGATCCCGCTCTCACAACCCAGTGGGTTTTTTATTTATCCTGTAAAAATGTATAATTCAAGTTCTGGCAAGGGATTGTCGTATTGTACTATCCAAAGTAGAGCATATTGCGCATTAATACAAAATTAAATATCGAGTTCTTACCTTGTTGCTTTTATACGGTAAAGTACCCACAGCCACCTTCCAATACGATTAAGATATGCGGCACTAGCAACAAATTATAACGAGCACTATCACCAGATAAACAGAGAATTTAAAACGATATACTCGGATGTAGAGCGCTCTGTTGTATAAATAGCAGCATCTGAGCTACTCTCCGTTATTGGGCAACCCCAAGCCTTCACGCAACCTCGTCGTTTTCAACCATTAAGAATTTAACAAGTCATGCGGTGTGATGACGTAGCTAGAAGCACGCACCGAGATCTGACCACTTTCAGTGATGGACGCACGCCTAGACATTCGGAGAAAGACACGTGCCTCAGAAGTTAAAGAGGTGAGGCACCGAGAGCCAGCCTCGGTAGGACGTTCTCTATCAACAATGCTCGATGAGCAGATTTCATGCGGACTGTCTGGTGGACCAGCGGGTCGTCAGGACATCTACCAGTATCTGGTATCGTGAGACGGATATCCGAATTTGAATACTCAATAAATTTTGAGGCTTTACTGAGCAAGATTTCCCGGTGCTATGCTGCTTACGACCTCCACTCGGCCTTTATCTTCCTTGGATTAGGGACTGGTTCGCTCAACGGGAAACGATGGTCCGTAGATTAAACAGCTATCTTATAGAGCCGAGCAAGGCTGCACACAGATGAAACTGAAAGTGATGGGCTGGACACCCGCGTCGTACTTTCTTCTTCTTAAAGTCAAGCATTACTTGACACTCCAATTATAGATTTGCTTTCCTAAAACTTTCTTTAAAAGCCTCACGATGGGAGCGACGGCGTTTAACTGTCTGAGTGCGCGCAACTTGAGCACGGATCGACGACGTCGACCCACAAGGCAAACCACGTGGTAGTGGACGCCACCATTATCATCGAGAAGAGTCCGATGACGACTTGGTCGATCGCCGCGGTGACTCGCGATGCTCTTCGAGCGCTGGAGGACAAAGACCGTCGTCATTGACACTCCGCCGAGCATAATTCCGAGGTCGCCTACCGCTATGCGGAAGACCTCGAAAGCCTAGAGCATTTTTTGCACCGACTGCCTCACCTTGAGGATTATCGCGCTCTATCAGAACGGCCCCTTGTCGTCGAGCAGACGAATACGTCACATGGTGCGACTGTGGAGCGCCTTGTGCCGTTGAAAACGGAAATTGTTGCACTCCGTGCTCCAACCAGTTGCTGGTTCAGCTTCTGGGTGGCCGAGAGCTTTCAAGGGCCGCCCTAGCGCCAACGTTTCTGCGCTTAACTGCACCGGGTCCCACAGAAAACACCGGGTGGATGCGCATCCTTCTCGGAAGGTTCAGCGTATGCGCAAGGCATCGCTTGGCCACGACCTTAATAGCTCCAGTAAACCGTGGACGGAGCTTTGTCTTAAAGACAGCAGATGCCGCATGTGTAGGAAGGTTTCTAGCATTAAATAAAACCAGGTCTTCGACCTCAAGGTTTCAACATTTCTTCTGCTTCTTCCATCTGCATATTCTTTCTGCATGTCTTGGCTTTCAGCCATCGCATAGCGAATTTGTCGTAGGACACTCAGTCAGGTAGACAGGAAGTCATCGACTTATTTACGAACAGCGAGGGAGCTGATATCAGCTAGCCATTCGGCTATTTCTCCCCCACCAAGCCTTGAGCCATGGGATGGCGGCATCAGGAGGACGCGAGGACTATCAAACCCGTTCACGTAGAACAGCGTGTAGCCGGTAGAAGGATGTACTGCATTGTTCAGATCAAACTCCACAAGTGGCAGCATGGTGCTCCAGCGACTTGATTAACGCACTCAGTTTGACCATTGGTCTGCGGATGGTCCGCTGTTGACACAGTCAACTTTGCGCCCTCACCCTGAAGATTGTCCCCCAAAACTTCCCAGTGATGCGCTGATCTCTACCAGAGACGACTGACTCCAGAAGTCCATTTTGTCGAAAA